GAGGACATCGGGCGGAGCCGCCTTTCAGCGTCGCTCAGAAGCGCGGCGAGCGACGCGTCGGCTCAGCGCGTCGGGGCGGCGGCGCGCGCGTCGGAGAAGCGGGGCGCTACGGGGGGGTCGTCTCGCCGATGGCAGTGCCCACTTCCGCCTGGCCCCGGAGAGTTTGTCCCGGCCTCCTGTCAGGCCGTCGCCTCCCGCCTGTGGCCCGAACGGTTCGATCCGATGTTTCGTCGACAGGGGGCGGTGAGAAACCTGGGCGCTGATGCCGCTCCGCCCGGGCGCCGCAGGGCGTCGACTGCTAGCGCGAGGACTCGCGGAGGCTTTCGCTGGCCCGCGCGGATCCGCGGGCTGCAAGAAGCACGCGCGAAGACAGGCTCGGCGCCTCGCGCGGGGCCTCGCTCCGGCAGTCTGCGCGGGGCGACAGGGGCGGGCATGCCCGGGGGTCGGTTGCGCGGCTGGAGGCTCCGAGCGGCGCGTGGCCGTCTTGAGGGCGGACGGGCCCCCTTCGCTCGGCTGAGGCCCAGGCTTCTGCCCGGCTCCCATCGGGCCCCGGATGCACTCTGCAGAGCACTGCCGCGGGAATGTGTTGTTTTCGTGTCGGCGAGGGCCGTTTGGGGAGGTTCGCCCAGTGTAAGCACCCTCCAGACTTGTCTCGAGGCGGCGACGGTGCGCTTGCGGGCCTCCAGGACCGCGCGGGGCGCCGCGCACTCTCCCTCCCACGTCTTGCCCCTGCCCCCGTCTGAGCTCGGGTGGCTGGGGGGCTCGGCTAGGTTTGGCGTTTTGGAGTGGTGGGGGGGCCTCGACTGGCTGAGAGGTGCTTTTGGCCAGGTTCGCATGCTGGTGGGGCGAGCGGCGCTGGCCAGCTCCGACGTTGCCGCCATTGCTCGGCGCGCGAGGGCAGGCGCATGGCTTCGCCCAGTTTGTTGGCCCCTGCTGCGGGGGCCGACGACTGAGAGCGAGAGGTCGGGGGACTGGGCGGGGCGCCATCGGAATGTCGTGCGTTCCTCCGTTTCGATGGCCCAGGGGCCTCATCAGGAGCAGTGCGATCACGGTATATCCAGCAACGGTAAGTGCCTTGCTGGCAGCGGGCTCCCTGGAACATTCTTCCATGGGAGAGTCCAGTGCCGGGTCTGGTCGAGTGATCGAGGCCAGTGCTGCGAGGCACGCGCCCTCTCTGCTTCGAAACAGTTGGAGGCGCGGGGCCAGGAGACTGATTTGGCGGCTGGCGGTGTCTTCCCCGGCTCCGTGAACTCAGCCCCTGCTCCCCTGCGCTTGTTCTGTCGAAACTTTCAGATCTGGTTGGTCAACCGTCCCGCTTCGGTGCTCCTCTCAGGAATTTTGTCCCGCGGCGGGCCTGCCTTGAATATGGAGTGCGAGTTTTCCCGTCGGGCTGGTTGGGCCCTTTGTTGCGGCTGGTGAATGGGGTGGGGTCCTACCCGGCTGGCGCGCTGGGGTCCCAGGTGGTCGGGGGAGGAAGTTGTGAATCGTTTTGGTTTGCACTCCGATCGGGTTGATCTGGAGGCGCCCCGAGCGCGTCGCCCCCCATTGGGTCAGTGGTGCGGAGAGCGAGGGGTTCGCAGCCTGATCGCGCGTTCGGACGGTTCGGGCGCTGCTAGCATCTTTGCGGTCCGAACTCGATAGGTGAAGGATGCTGAAGATGCTGATGCTGATGCTGATGATCAGGATGATGGTATAATGCTGGTGATGCTGATGCATCTGATGATGCTGATGGTGATGATGGTGATGCGGATGCTGATGTCGATGCTGATGCTGGTAATGATGACGGTGATAATGGTGTTGATGATGATTTGTTTGCTGCTGCTGATGCTGCTGCAGCTGATGATGCTGGTGATGATGGTGATGATGATGAAACTGAAGATGATGATGAGGAGTATGCAGCTGCTGGTCATGATGATGCTGATGATGCTGCTGACGATGATGATGCCGATGCTACTGACGGTTATGCTGGCGATGATGATGCTGATGCAGATTATGATGATGATGATGATGATGATGATGATGATGCTGATGATGATGATGATGATGATGATGGTGATGGTGATGGTGATGGTGATGATGACGCTGCTGATGATGATGGTGATGCCGATGCTGCTGCTGATGATGATCATGATGATGATGATCATGCTGCTGCTGCTGATGATGATGATGATGACGATGTTGATGATGATGATGATGATGATGGTGGTGGTGGTGGTGGTGATGATGATGATGATGATGATGATGGTGATGCTGATGATGGTGTGGAGGAGGAGGAGGAGGGAGAGCAGGAGGAGAAGGTGGCGGAGGAGGAGGAGGAGAAGGAGGGGGGGATGATGATGATGATGATGATGATGATGATGATGATTATGATGATGATGATGATGATGATGATGATGATGATGGTGATGATATGATGATGATGCTGAGATGATGATGATGTTGATGATGATAATGCTGATGATGATGCTGCTGATGATGATGCTGATGATAATAATGATGATATGATGATGATGATGATGATGATGCTGGATGATGATGAGGAGGAGGAGGAGGAGGAGGAGGAGGAGGAGGGGAGAGGAGAGAGAGGAGAGGAAGAGGAGGAGGAGGAGGAGGAGGGAGGAGGAGGAGGGGGATTAGGAGCTGGAGGAGGGGAGAAGGAGGAGGAGGAGGCGGAGGAGGACGAGAAAGAGGACATATAATACTAATAGTATGAATAATATCCGTAATAAGAATAGTCAGGGAAGTGATCGGAGAAACTAATGATAATACACATACATATAATACTACGGATATGAAAGATCATGTTGATACGACTACTAACAACATCAAACATAACATACTCATGGAGTAATAATAATAGCCAACCAAGACAGGAAAGCGACAATTTAGAGGAGGGGGAAGGTGGAGGAGGAGGGGGAGGAGGAGCAGGAGGAGGAGGAGGAGCATGATGATGATGATGATGATGATGATGATGAGGAGGAGGAGGAGGAGGAGGAGGAGGAGGAGGAGGAGGAGGAGGAGGAAGACTCATCAACGATTTTGCAATAAACGCTCCCTCTGGATTCCCCGAGGGTTCATTAACAACCATGCTGAATCCCGAGCATTCTCAGAACACCATTCCTGGGATTTTAACTCCGCGAATCAAGTATACTGTTGTGTCCTGGCGACAGTCCTGCATCGTGCCAAAACACCGTTTCTGGGACGTCAGCCATTCAAAGGTCAGGGGGGCCCTCGCAAGAGTCGGTGATCTGAGTCTCGTCGAAGACCTTTGAAGCCCCCTGGCTAGCTTGTCTGAGGGCCCTTCGCCCACCCACCACCCCGAAGATACGCGAGACGCAGGGCTGAGCCGCCTGGTGGCAAGTCGGAACGTGCGGCGGCCTGCCTTGCAGAGTCGCAGAGGGGAAGAAGACACCCCTGCTTTTGGGCGCACCCGCTTCCAGCACCTGCCAAACCAGCCGCCAGACTGAGCGGATGAAGGAGGGGTGGGCGGATGGCACGGCTTCGTGTGAGTTGGACTCGAAAGCGAGGGTCGAATGTTGTTCTTTGAGCCTCTCCAGCCGTGTTCGCTTCGGGGTCAGCAGCAGCACGCGACGTGGCGGGCGCCCCCGCAACCGGCTCTGCCGTCGCCCCCGCCGCTCGCCATGGCGGCCGCGGTCGCGCTGAGCGGTGGCTTGCGCAGAGGACGGGGCCACATTGTCCCTCTTTGTCCCCTTGCCCTCCTCCTCCTTCCTCGTCGCTGTGCCATGGCACTCCCTGCTATCCTTCCCTGCGCCGCCCCAATATTGCCATGTTGGTCTCACGGCTCTCAGACTGTCATGTTGTATTTGCTTGCCGTTTCCTCGTCGTGGGTCGCATCAGCTGCTAATGTCTGCCTGCTCTTCCGGCCTCGGACGTCCCTTTGCGTCCGCCTTGGCCATTTCCTGCTGCCTCAGCCGCTCTCTGTCGCGCGTGTTATGATCTGCTGTGGCGCAGTGACTGCCTTCAGGTCCCACCGTTGTGGTTCGCCCTCGCCCTACCTGCTCCCCTGCCGTTTCCCGTCCCCGATCTCTCCCCAGGTCGGCGGTCCGCTGCTTGCAACGCAGGTTTGCGGTCCCCGCCGCACCGCCCGTCCGTGGCCGCTCGACCTCGGCGTGCTGGCCCGGCATTTCGGTGCGCCAGCCCGTGCGCTTGGTCGGTGCACCTTGGTCTGGCCCCTGTCTTCGCCCCTGCTTCCCCTCCCCCGGCATGGGTTGGCGCCAGCCCGTCGGGTGTTCGAGCCTCCCTCGCCACAAGCGGCAGCACTTCGTGTCAGTGCGTCTCTTTTTAGTAGCACTGTCTTGAGCGGGCGTTCGTGATGAGGTATGTTCGCCGTGCTGCCCACCTCACTACTGTTCCTGGGTTTGGGGTTGGGGTGTCTGGTGGCGGAAGTGGATGTCTGCGCCACCAAACCTACGCCCAGCAAATATGAAACATAGGTTCGCCCCAAGTCCTTTGCCGACGACGACCTCCTTCCTCCTCCTCCTTCTCCTCTCCTCCCCCTCCTCCTCCCTCCACCTCCTCCTCCTCCCTCTTCCTCCTCGAAGCCTCGAAGCTGCGGACGCTTCGGGGTCCAGCCCTGGCGCCCTCGCAAAGCCCCCTCCTGCCCTGCCCCAAGCCCGTGTGTGTGTGTGTGCACGTGTGGATGTGGGAGCGGCCTGCCACCTGGGAACATCCAGGAGGTGCAGGGAGGAGCAGACCGACAGACGCAACGACTGCTGGCCCCTTCCCCCGGAGGAGGAAGAGGAGGAGGAGGAGGAGGAGGGGGAGGAGGAGGAGGAGGAGGAGGACGAGGAGGAGGAGGAGGAGAAGGAGGAGGAGGGGAGGAGGAGGAGGAGGAGGGGGAGGAAATGAGGAGGAGGAGGAGCCCTCCCGCCTCGGCTGCGGCGACCTCGACGGCCACGGCGGCGACGGCGGCGGCGACGGCGGCGGCGGCGACGGGCCCCCACCCCCGCACGGGGGGCCGGCGGCAGGGCCCTCCGCCG